TGAGGCCGTGCTATCACTCCGGTCATGAAATATTTCGTGGCTGGTAAGAAGCATGGCTCAGCAACGATTATGATATATTTTTTTATGGAAGAGGGGGCAGACGAGCATAAAAGTCACCTGATGAAAAGTGACTACCCCTGCCCCTCTTTTTGAGTCTCCTGAGTGCCTGCAGCCTTTAGGCTGCAGGCACTCAGGAGACTCAAACGCATTATAGGAATGAGTACGCTCTTTTCTTGAAGGTTTGAAGGTCGTATCGGTCCGGAAATACCGCAGGTTATATGTATCCGTCAAGGAAATATTGAGAGTAGAAAAACAGTTTTTAAGATATCGGATAACTAAGTTCCGTGTAGAGACGATGAGAATTATCATACCATAAAACTAAACTGATATTGTCAAATAACGTAAGTAACAGTATAAATATAATGTAAGTGTTACATCGCATCGTATGCATATAATACAATAAACATATTTTATGATAAGATCTTTGATAAGCACTTGTTTTACATCGCATGAAAACATTCATTTGTACTGCAAAAAACTTATGTTTACTTTATGTGTGTGTATTTTGTGTATTGTGTATATGTTAAAATTATATACTTAGAATTATCATCGTCTCAATGTAATGTAATAAACCCTAGCCTACATTGCAGTTAACAGACAAGTTAAGGGACGTGAGAAGTACTTAGATGGGAATGCGGTGAAACAGGTTAGACTAAGCTTCGCGTATTAATCGTCGTGTCGGGATACTAACGAAAGCTAGGCAAAATCTTACTCTACACATATTGTTAATATCTTTTTTTTTTGTAACGATAATCAACTTTGTAGCCAACTAATTTTAATATTTTCATTACAGTATTATTATTAATTTATCGTGAATGTTATTTATTTACTACAATTTATCCATCCATTGATGTGTCAATTTCTGGGGCATAACAGACCACTTAACTGGTGGTATAACATACCACGCCACAATTTATCCCTATCGAATGTCCCGTCGCTATTCATATTTTTGGTCATATTTATGCGATATGGCAAAGCAAGAACTAAATACAAGACTATTACTTATATTTGTTTTTTTTTTTAATAAAGACAACTCCCGCATTAGGAATATATCCTGTCTCGTGGGGGACTTTACAAACATACTGGATACGAACACAAAGAACACCCAGACTCAGAACAACAATTTGTGGATCACACAAAGTGTCGTCCCATGTGGGGATCGAACCCACAACACTCAGCGTATGTAGTAGTGAGCGGCGCGGCGATTGCTTCACCGTAGTGGTGAATCATCCGAAGTCATCCGTGAAGTCAAAAGTCATAATATGAGTTATGTATATTTTAACAAAATAAGCGGTTTAACAAAATAAGTTTCAGCAAATAGTTCTACATTACTACTCATAATATACAACTCTAGTATTCTTATACTCTGTCTACTTAAAAGTTCTATTCGTATAAGAAAAGTTTACTTCTCGTTTGTAAGATGAGTTAAATTTACCTTATTCTACAGAAGGTGATCGATATTTATTGAATAATATAGGTCACAGTCGATTCCTTTAAAGTGGAACATCTGATAACGCGTCAAACATAATTCTGTCTGCGACCTTTGTCCATTTTACAAGATAGACGACCATTATTCGTAATGTTTAAGAGCCTTCTAATAGTTATTTTACGTGTGTGATATTTATGTAACTGGTAAGTACATGATCTGCTGGTGGCAGTGCTCATCTTTAAACTCAACTAAATATCCGATTGAATGGGTGGTATATCCTTCTGACAATACCCTACTCTGACCAATACCCGACCGACCCCCAACGTCTGATGTTTAAAATTTCTCTGTATGGTTTTCTTGCACATTGCAGAATCGTAGTGACTCCGTATTTAAGTCGTCTTGATAGGTGCTGTACAATTAATTTTGTTATATAGCTGTATGTAATTTGCCATGAGGTGTCTTCTGGGCGTAGTACAACAAGAACTACAAGATGATATAAAGTGATAACTTGCTATGAATTTGAGGGCAAACTCCTCAATGGACCTTGTAACATAAATCTATTAGAACAAGTTTATGTACCAAACAAATACTACATATATTGTTTAAATGTTTTTAGTGGGCGGAGGATATTTATATACATATGTATATCTTACTACTACTACAAAAAATGTATGTATAAGTATTGTTGATTTTAAAATGAATCTTTAAACGTGCGAATACAAGCATGTTAATAGACGAACAGACAGACGGGGCGTCGTTGTCTGTACCGGAGGTGCCTTTTATTTGTTTAAGGAATGGAACCCTAAAAAAATATCATCACACACTTGACACATGTGAACAATGGACAAGTTTAATTACATTTTAAAAACGAATGGCATATAGTTCTTATGTCATGACGTCACTATGTGGGACTACAGTACAATAAAAATAGAAAACAAGTACCGGACGCACATGGCGACTGGGGACCAACCGCGTTGGCATGCTGTTCCATTGACTGAGTGTAATAATAATCGCAACCGTCGAGGTCAAGGTTCGAATCCCGTGGTGGCGTTCGCCGAACTCTAGCGGGTCGTACCACAGACTATTAAAACAATTGGTCTAAAATGATTCAAGTACCAACTGATAATATTTTGTTTTAAGGTATAGAATGTTCTGAATCCATCACTTTTTGAAGTTCACTATTTAAAGTCTGTTCATTTTATTTTAATAATTAACTGATATAAATATTAGGTGATACATTCTATTTTTCTAAGTATAATTATATATTTTGATTTTCTAAATTATAGGAAACTTTTAAATAAGTTAGTAAAAAACATATTACAGTTTGTTTACAAGTGTCAAATAGGAATCTACTACTAGTTACAAATCAGATATATTGTTGACGTCATAATTAATAAATTAAAACGGTTTATGCGCATTGATATACAAAAAAACCCTTTTTTGTATATCAATGTTTATGCGCCAAGGCCACATACTATGACTGGACTTGTTAAAAATATTGACAATACTATAGGCACAATAATAAGTACATATATACCGTTTCGATGTTCTTGTCGGTAAATAGAACCATAAGCACAATAGTTGGCTAAAATAGATTCTTTATAAACAAAGCATTTGCGTTATTTTCTAGAACCTGCTTTTTAACTTTCGTACCATTAAGTTTTCTTGTTCTCTTCCTATATGGTGTATCTCTAATTTATTTAAAAACTCTATGATTGGTCTAAGCCAAAGCTTCTTCATACTCACATAGCGTGAAATTGAGTTTAAATTTAAGAATTGGATCTTATTGCAGAACTTGACGAAATTTCCGTATAAACTATGTAGAAACTTAACTAAAGTAGGTATTTCATTTAATCTCAACTCAAAAACTCTTCGCTTTCATTTCACTACTCAATTAGGATAAAAGTAATCTTTTGTAATATAGACCATTGATTACAAACCATTAGACACATGGTAGCGATCCGTATTAGGCTGTTGCGATCAATAACCTTAAACAGCTGTTTAATCAATCCAATCCATTGTATGAAACTTTGAAAATTGAGTCATTCAACAAATTCCAAGAAAGCTTAGTGTTACTTGTTCTGTTTATTATGTTATTTATCAAATTGAATACATTAAGATTAGATATACACGTATAAACGCTGTTCTAATCTAAATCATTTAAAAAAAAAAAGTAAGTAAGTACCACATACTTTTAATGTAACAGTGAACTGTTTTTGTGTTTACAATTTGTTACCGTAACAATACAATTAGACGTGATAGAACTTTCTATTTATTAAATAATAGTTTTTACCAATTTATGACGTGACATATATCTACTTATTGCGAGGAGTATACGTCTCACCTAGAATGTGTTACGCTTATATTACAATTTGTTACGAAAATTACTTTGTGGTTATGATTGATTAAATCAGCCCTTTGGTTATCATATCGTACATTTGTACTGACCGGTGATCGCTTGGTGGTCGGGTTTGAGCTCTGTTTCATTCTGCTTTATATCAACGAACAGTATAACTTAAACTGCCGTTTTATAGAAGATATAAGATATGAAAATCACTTAAAAGATATGAAAAAGTGCTACCGAAGGTAAAAGATTACTTAGAGGTATACACAAGTAATGAATGCATATAAGTATAAGTATATTATTTGTTTTTTAGTTAATTATTTTTTTTAGTTTTATTTTTAGTTTAATTTAATTTTTAGTTAGTTATTTTTAATTAATTTTAGTTTAGATTAATATGCGCCGCCCTTAAATAATATTAATTATCAACCATAACAACTCTGCGGACTTAGACATATGTATATTTAGAAATCAACCGTATTTTTTGTTTTGCTTATCCAATTGAATAAAATTGCAGAGTAGCGCTAGACTAAATTTCAACGCCGTAGTGAACTTTCTGCTTTGTTCTTAATCTGTGGTTCATATACCTACACAAAAAAAACGTTGATTGTTGATTCACGAAGCTCTTGAGACTTGCGATTGGTCTGTTTGTTTTATTTATGAGAGCCATATTTAAAAATCTAACGATCTTTTTGCGGAGAGGAAATGAGAGGCCAAGTGTTATCCGTTGTACCTACCTATTGAGGCTACTGATATTGAGTACAAGCTATAAGAATGAAATTGTTATAAAGAATTAACTAGGCTCTGACCAATGTATTATTTAAACCTGTATTGTTGATATTATTTATTTGTTTATGGTACTGGTTATCAATGCATAGCACAAACTTCATGTTTTCATAATTTATTTAGTTTGGTTTTTCCTTTTTTGCTTCCTTTTTCTAATAATATAGAGTTCTTGAATGTAAAATAGGTAAAGTGCAATTTTCTAAGTTCTAACAAAATTGAATTATGTATATGAAAATGGATACTTATTGTTTAGGTGACGTACAACATTTTATAACTTTTTTAAAAAGTAAGTAGTTTGATACATTTGCTATAAATTAAGCATAAAAATATTTTCCTTAAAAAACCAAGTAGTTTTTGTTATGAATGCAAATTAGTCCAACTTACTTGCATCTGCAAAAGTCTGGATCCGCGTGTTTTCTCCATGTTCCAACTTTTATGTTAACACAAAACTTATGAATTGAACGATTAAAAACAATTTATAGGAACAAGAATAGTTCAATACGTCCAGTTATCTTATTAGATCAATATAAAAAAATATATATTTTACACAAGATTTTTGTATAACATGAAACACCATTCACAAAATTTGACACAAAAATGACATAAATAATAACCCTTGTCATACAAAGGCGACTTTCCCGCGCGACTTAAATTTGGAATGTAAATATCAGAGGCAATTTAGAAGTTTCTTTTTCATCGTTCAGCACGTTCTCAATATCAAAATAAAATTAATATTGATGAAACAAGTCAGCAGTCGCCAAGCGACTCAGCTGTTGTGAAGGACCGAAGTGAATTAGCGAGAGATGGCGGGACGGGCAGTGAGCAGCCTGCATGACTACACGCTGAGTAATCGACTGGCTGCACCTACACGCCCGCAGTTAGGGCGTGTATTAATGGAGTTAAGCCTAAAACAACTTTATCAATTGTTTAGGTAGTGAATGTAAACGAGTAAAAACATTTGAAAGGTTAATGATAGGTATTGAGAAATATGCAGCAAAGGAAAATATTTTTAGAGCTTGTCTATAGAAGTATTTAGTGGAAATTTAAATTAAATCGTATTGCAAGACTGCTAACTACATTAATTAATTGAGCATGCTAACTAAATTAATTTTTGTTTCGATTTATTCAAATAATGTTTTTTTTTAGGTTTAGCTTCTATAAAAGATTAAAACCATTCCTGAAGAAGAGTAACTTACAGACATATATTTCACACCAACAAATATGAATGTCTACATAATAAATCTAGTCAATAAATATATGAAAAACCAAATAAATCTATAATTATACCACAAATAATATAAGCTTATCAAGTCGTTTTAATCGAAAAACATTTCCAGTTGAACGGATGTTGTTTTTCCAGTTCGATTACATAAACTGATTGGTTATAACTTTAATGTAAGCTGACATTTTGTTATTACTTATCTCCTACAATAAGTGAGTGTATCTACCTTGTACGGACAACGGGTTAACGACCGCGAATTATGATATCGCTTTCACTACTTTTTTTTGCTGTGGGTTTGCAAATTTCTTTACCTACTTTGCAATATCTTAAATAAATAGTAAGAAAACGGGCATCTAAATATTTGGTTTGTATGTTAAATAGAATCGAAAAGTGATGGATTGGATCGAACTATTACGATATTCACGGTTAAGTGTAAAGTAACCTTGAGAATGTTTTAGTAAATTAAATATTGTCCTCTGCTCCATTGCAAAGTAAAACATTACGTGGCTTTGCAACACAGACTACAGCTACACATACTTTAGTCTTGCAAAGCCAGCCAAGTTAATAGAAACGAAACCAGAACCAAACGAAACAAAAAAAGTTGTTCTTTATAGTAATATCCACTGACATCTGTCACGACATATTAAGACATTTAATTTATGTCATATTACTGCTGAGTATCTTTGGGTTTTAGGTTTTTTTAACTGTCAAAAAGGCTACTTAGATCCCCGGTGATTTATTTTGTTTGCTGTATGTATGGTGACATAATAAGTTTACCAAGAAAAATATGTAATTTAAACTCAAATCTCGTTTTACCAATTGAAGAGTAGCTAAGTTAAAGGTAATAATCGAAAAATTAACTATATAGATAATGGTCATTGAAATATTACAGCGTTTAGATTTGTAAATAAACCCACTCAAATAAAATCAATTTGATTGAATAAATTACTGCCTTGAAACTTCAAATCCCATACAGAAAATGTACGATGCATTATGAAATAATTAAAAAATATATAAAATGTCAGATGAGAACACTTGAAACGTTACATGTACGTTTAAAACTTTCTCCGTTATCTTTATTCATCATACAGTATAAGCACCATTGTCTAAAAGTAAATGTCAAGCAACCATTAATCCTTAACGCAGACGTTTTCAAGCTAATCCTGTAAATGAAGATGACCGGATGCGTGAGATAGCGATCTTTTTATGCTCAATCTTACTTGATGTACTTCGGAGAAAGAAACATCTTTAATTTTATATGCTCCAGTTCAAGTTACTGTCTATTTTGAAAAATAAACTTTCACGTTCAGGTTGCTCGGCCAATTCAATTAAAATTAACGTCGTGGATAGTATTTCTTTTTTTATTGACCTGTTGCTGATTCTGATTACTAAACCAGCTCATGGATTCTCACGAAAAATAATTGTGTTCAGAACACTCATTCTGTGCCTAGGTATAATTCATCTATAATATGTATGTACTTTAAATAAGTACATACAGTTGTTTATTAGTAGTCTGGTTACCGTAATACAGGCTCTGCCTAGTTTCTAATCAGACGGCCCTGTGTGGGATCTGTCAAGTTATAATTATTATTCTGGATGCGATTAGGAGTTTATATCTGTAGTAGTATATGTATATATTTTGTGACGATGCTTATGACAAAAAACGGAAAGAACAGTGACAAATTAACCACATTTGTTACTAACAAGCAAGCTGCTGCAAGATATTTTATGTACACATGTTTATGCAAATAAAATATCTTGTATCTTGTATCTTGTATCTTGTATCTGCAACTGCTGTCAAATATTTGCAATGGGCGGAAATGAAAACATAAACGGAAATGAAACATAAACATGACGTTCCAGTTGTATAAAGGATCGTCTGTTTGTCAATTTTAATAGGGGTTGATAATCACTGAAAAGTAGTACATCAAGATTACTTTATAACTTAACAAGAGCGAATCCAGGGTTCAGATCTCCTATGACCCTCTATCCCTGAGTTGTCCTTTTTGTACAATTTCAAGAAGGTAAGTAATAAAAAGGAGGTCGTCCTCATGACATGTTAAAAGGCGGATCCGCATCTGCATTTTAGTTTGTTCCATGTTTTTAGTGTAATCCTTTTTCAATTTTAATATTGCAACTTTAATTGTCTACCTACTTGTGATAATAAACGATCAGAAACTCATTTAAAAGCAAACACTAGCTAAACACATATGTCGACATTTTTATTGGACTTTAAAGGTTTTAAAATTCAAATGTTTTGCATGAAAAAAATACGTTTCTGAGAATGACCAATAGGATTTTCAGTTACTGAATTAAGTTCTTTATTTAATGAATGAATGTGAAAGTGAGTTCGTTTGTTACACTTTTACGCCTAAACCACTAAACCGATATTAAAAATTGTTTCACCTACGGTAGGTTTTTAAAGCGCATAAGTATAAAATATTTATTTGGACATGCTGGCTTGCAGTAGGAGCGTTGATGGTAAAGGGATCACTACATATAAAGACAAATGCCTCAAATTGACAACGATTTAGGTAATATCGACTATATTTTGAATATTACTTAATTTATTACTAAGTTTTCCAACATTTGGTTGTTGCCTTAGAATGGTTATACTTCAACACATCATCCTTTAAAAGTCCACTGCTTGACAGTGCACATACACGATTGTAAAAGGTAGTGGGGGTTTCTAATAGTGGAAGGGGGAGGCGAGGATTTATGAGTGTTTAAGAGAACGTGTCGACGTGTCTATAAACTGGATGTTTTGAAGCACAAAGCAGTTAAATAATAAATTTTTGAGTAAAAAGCTCAGAATATGATTTTAAATTTGACAATTAGTCATTTTGATAGGTTAAGCCGTTACCAGAGACCACAACAACAGACATAGATGTATTTATAAGCCAAACACATTATCTTCCTTTTTAACTTTTGTAGTTTGTTAAGTAGCTAGTAGATAAGTAATAAAATTTATTATCGACTGATTAATAATATTATTTTTTTATAATTAATCATCGGGAGTTTTAATTAATTATGTCCATTACTAAAATGAGAGACGAGTTCATAACACAAAATTACCAATTGTACCGTGTGTGTACCATGCTCTTTGTAGGATTATTAATAATGTTAAGATCCTTATTCTTAACTTAACTGTGATTAACATCTCTGTACAAGTAAGTGTACACTTTCATGAAACATAAAACTATCACAAAAGGCATTATAGACAATACGAGTATTCAATTTATGAGGTTATCGAAAAGATACCGGACCGTAACAGCTAAAGATTACCCTTAACATGCTTTTATACGTACAGGGTTTGGTTCTAAGAGTTTGGCCCTTCGAGTCCAATATAACATCGCGTTTAGGGTGCTGATGGAATTAACATGCTTCTGTAGTGCTTATTTGCAGAAGCCCGCGTTGATTAATTTTATACTGTAATGCGTAACAGATGAGCGTCCCTGGTATGCAGGGTGCGGGCCAGCACCAACAGCATTCTAAAAATGATGTCTAGCCGAATGGATTGCGCGATGAAGTTCAGCAGAAAGTCTGCAACACCGGTTCACCGGTGTTGCAGACTTTCTGCTGAACTTGAAATACCTATCTATGTGCAGTGTTAGGTATCGGTTCATCTCATTGTGTTTGTTGTATTTATTATTTACTAATATAGCTATTCGTCAAATTGTTACTAACTCTATGAGTTTTGTTACTCGATTGGCAATGATTAAATAAATAAGTACCCTCGTTAGATGGTCCTATATCGGGTGATAACGTATTCAGAAACAATCAATATCACCTTAGTATGTACTTAGGGTGTACTTTTCTTTTGTGCGTGTGAATACCCACACCAGTATACGCGTGGGCACTATCTTCGGTTAAAACCTCTAATTTAGGTGACGTCCAGGCTCACGCGGACGTCACGCCTTGTATGCCGAATTTAGTTGAAACTTGCGGGCACACCTAGGGCGGCATGAGGCAGTGGTAGGCTCGTCTTTGCAGTTCTGTTGGGAATTTTCCTCAAGGAGCCTCCTTCCGCGAGATTACAGATTCGCAACAGGATGCGAACGCAGTAAAACAACTGTCGCTACGGGGCATGGAGTGTATGACTTTTGGTAGTAAAACGTGAGCACGGTTTTTCTATGGATAATTTATTGTTTAATCAATTATAACATATCAAACTGATTTCTTTATTTAATTAGAAAGAGCT